AAAAACTGATGTTTCTCAGGTGCTGATGCAACATACTATATACCTAAGCAATAAAATAGGCACTAGAATTTCGTTTCTGTTCCTTTTTAAGCTTGTCAATACTGCAATGAGAAGATTACGAAAAATCAAACGGCAGTTCTAAAGTTTCATTTGCCATTCATTATTGATACAGGTACTTGTCGAGCTTCTGCTCCAAGCTGCCACGACTGTCTTCACGTTCAAGGTACTGCCGCGGGCAGCCCAACTATGGTTTCTCGTTGCCAAACCCTCAACAGGATGCTGACCACTGCCTTAAAGAGGATGCCGGAGGTCCGCATCCTGAACGTAGAGGTAGGATGCTTTGTGTGCTTTCTAGTTAGAAAACAAAGGCATATTTCTTATGAATAAAGTGATAGTGGGGAGACATACACAGTCACGGCCCGTACTTACAGCTGCAACGGGACTATAGTGTATGCTTATGAAGATGTCACAATGGGCCGAAAATGCTTTCTTTCATGGCAACTGTTGTTATTGGCGAGGTCTCACAGCTAATCTATACTGTGTATGGAATGATACACTAAATTTAGCAAGGAATGCCTCCTGCTAAATATATTGGGATATCACAATGTCACATGCCACTGTGCTTTCATTCCTTATTCAATTTGGCAGAGACATTTGCGTGCTCGATAGACCATTTCAAAAGCGCCCCCATCATCAGCTTGACTCACTACGGCACCTGAAGCAATACCTGTGTATAGAAGCGGGTCAAGTTAGTTTAGCAATTTGCAATTTTAGAAGGCAGTACGGCAACAATATGGGGTATTTATTGGTTCCGTTACAAGTTATTACCCTGTTTTTTTTTTCTTTTGTATTGCATTTAAAATGATTAGAGGAAAGGGATCTTGCTGCATCCAGGTTGTAAGGAGCCTACGATTTAGCCTGGACATACATTGGAAATGCCACACGATTTCACGTGCAGCGCTGAGCAATATGGGGTCATTGAAAGGCCTTATGTGATTCTGTGGGAAGGCCTATAGGAGGTATTCACTGGACGCCATATTTGAGGGCGATGTTTAGAGCGCATGCTCAGAAGGAGCTCGAATTAATAGCGTGCTAAGACCGGCAACCTTAAAGGTGCTAAATGCACGCTCCAAAAGGACTGTGGAAGCTCGCCGTCAGCACGCGCTCAGCAGCAGCGCACACGGATATGGCCGCCAGTGAATACTCCCTATTGGTAATGTCACATGAAGCGTTTTTCTAATAAACTTAGCAGGGAAACTGTGATTTAATATGATGCCTCATGGCATGATGTCACCTGACACTGACATCATGAGAAGTGCTTCCCAAGTTTATCAGGGAATTTGTGACATCAGCTGATTTCGGGTAACACTGTGACAGCATAGCATCACATGAAAGTTACTTTTGCACCGTTGTAAAATTTAGAATGCTGGTGGAGAGTGATTGTGTGTATAATCCAGTCAACCCCTAAACTGAGACTGGTATGAGCTATGTGCTCGCCGGACCATTCAATCGCCTCTTTTCATCACATGACCCAGCTGTTTGGGCGTGAGTGTGGGCAAGAGCATTATCCTGTCACGGAAATTGTCAGGGAAATTATAGCTACCGGGCAAAATCAGGGGATTGTCAGGGATATTGTCAAAAAGCAAGCCCAGCCAGGGAAAATGAGCCGGAAATGCTACTGAGTGCCCTGAGCAAAGGCTTGAGGACTTTTGGCCAGAAAAACACGCAATAAATTCTGCGTAGAGCGGAGCGCGCGCTCTGCTCACCCGATGTAGAGTGTGCTACCCGATGCAAAGAGAACAGCCGACAAATCCAGTCCAAGCCTTGTCTTGTATTGGATTGGATTGAGGGTGCAGCACTAGGCTAGATCCAGTTAGAGCTAGATTTAGTAACTAATGGGAAAGCCACAGACCCCAATCCAAGCCTTTAGCCGAAAGTATTCGAAAGTGCATGTGGCGGCCATGTTGTCATTCGGTTATTGACGTGTGTGGCTGAGCGTCGTGCTTTCATCATGTTTCCGGGAATGGCCTCTTTACAGACGATGTCGGTGGCAAGAAAGTGCTCGTTTAATCCGGACTGGGTGAACCCGAATATTTCCGAATGTGCAAGTTGGATAAGCCCGTCCACAATGAAACTCATAGTCCTCAATGCTCCATGCCTTGTCTTGTAATGGTCTTATAAATTTAACTGCCTCTACAGTGGTCAGGGAATGGTACCTGAAATCATCAGGGAAAACCTGGAAAAGTCAGGGAATTTCCAAATAATAATTTGCTAGACACCCTGCCTGTGGCGAAAAAGAGGTGTATGACTGGTCCAGCTGGGATATAGCTTCCACTGCAGTTTCGGGTTAGGAGTGAACTGTCTATAGTCTGTATGTTGTAGCAAAGTGCCTCAGCTGTTGCCTCGGTTAATTTGCAAGACATGACAAGGAAGCGGCAATGTTTTCCTGCAACACCTTGATCTGAACAAAGCTGGCAAACAAGTATCATGCTGCCGCTTATTGTCGTGCACTGTATAACGGTACCTTTATATCATTGCTCTTGCAGCATCGTTTCTTGGATTCGTCCAGGTGTCCAAGGAGGCTGCTTTTTGCAGCAGATGGGTACCACCTGTCCCGGGACCATGGCGCATTAAGGAACTGGCGTTCATTCTTATGAGGGCGGCAGTGAGATGCTATGGGCCCTGGATAAGACCGGCGGCGGCAAGCTCACGGATGCTGTTCCGCATCCTCGAGTGCAGCGCCTGCAGGTCCAAAGGTCATGCGGAGGGACAGTGCTTGCGCTTTATGTGCCGTCTCTAGTCACTGTAAGTATATTTTGCGCTTCCCTTCCTCGGGATTTATCTGTCTGCACTGCTACAGACACATTATCTAGAATTGCGCTAAAGCCTCACATTCTTTATGTGAAATGATTGTGTTGTTTCGAAACATTACAAAGAAAAGAGAAATATCTGTGTCCTGCAGATCTAAGAAGGAAGTCCTTAAATTTTTCACTCTCTCCATTGACACTGATGCACCACAGTAAACGTGCTCTTCAAATTGCAAATGCAATAGAGGTCATCATCTTCTTTACAAATATTAATGTGGCTTCTACATCAGCAGGACCCAATACAGTCTAAGCTCATTACAACAGACCTGGTTACAACAAACATTTGGATATAGCATACCGATTTGTGAAGTTCAGTTGGTTTTCCTTTGCATACCATTGACTCAACTTCATATCTGCATACAACATACAGTCGCCAACGTTTTTTTCCGGACTCCAATAATTCGGACTTGTTCGGTATTTCGGACCTAAAGGAGGAATCGTGACTTATACCTGTAGATGATGATGATGGTTGGGGGTTTACTGGCACAAGAGCAACTTAGGCCATATTGTGCCAAAACAGAGGTTTGTATGAGGAGCTTAGAAATGCAATCTAAAGTAACTACAACCTACAGCTGGTGTAAAAGGCCAGTTTTATGGAGGAATTTTATAACTCGATTGAACGGTACCAAGGGTTGATCATCAAGTAGAAAATATGGATGAAAAGGAAGATGATCTCGGAACAGTTTTGAGAAACATGATTGGCACTGTTGATTTAAAGATTTAAAATGCCACAGGATGTGCATGACAGTCATAGATTTACCACAGTTGTCGCAGAGCTTAACATCCTCATCGCAAAGCAGGTGCAGGTGAGTCAAATGGGTATGCCCAATTCTTAAGCGGCAAAGAAAAACTTCAATGTGACAGTCTATATGAAAAGAGCCCTCCCATACCCCCAGAAGGGGCTTGATGACGTGGAGCTTGTTCTCTTCTTCCATATCCCAATCCAGCTGCCATGATTTCATAATCAATTTCTATATGAACGGTTTCAGGTCTTGGTGTGGCAGGCCAAGGGGCAGTTTTGGGCACTTCTTCGCAGAGGCAGCAAGCAAGTCTGCTTTCACATTGCCAGGAATACCCAGGTGGCTTGGGACCCAGCAGAATTTGATCAGGTGTCCTTGCTGAAGAGCTCTATTTAACTGAACCCGAAGACGTTGCACAAGAGGGTTCTTACTGTCTGTTAAGGACAAAATTGCTAGAAGAATGCTCTGGGAATCGACAAACAGAATTGCTTTCATGATATTGTTCTCTAATAAATACTCCGCAGCCATAGAAATGGCATACAATTCAGCTGTAAAAATACTTGCAACAGTGTTGAGTTGTCGAACTTTCCTGAAAGCAATGGAATAAACCGAACCATGCGATTTGTGTGGAGAGAACTGTAGGCTCCACTACCGAGCTGAGGGCAAGCCAGTTTGGAGGTGTCGGAAAGGCCATGACTGGAAGAAAAGCATCATCACAGGCACCTTTTTCGAGAACTGCCACCTTCCACTTGGACAGGTTCTCGAAGTCCTCTTTGTCAATACTGGCGGGGCGCCACCATGTCTTCCGTCCAGAGAATCGCCTCTCGGGAAACCAGGACTCTCCAAGCAAACTATTGTGGCCTGGACGTGGTACTTTAGAGACACCTGCTTCAGATGGTTTGACGAAGTGCAAAGCTTAACAGTGAGACCGAGCATCGGTGGCCCCGGAAAAGCCGTTGTGGTCGACGAGGCCAAGATTGGCCATCGTAAGTATCATCGAGGACGAATAGTCGACAGCATTTGGATTCTTGGAATGGTGGAACTCCAGACAGGGGCTGCAGGTGATCATCGCCGAGGTGGGCACGTGCGCATGGAGGTGTGCGAAAACAACAAACGGCACAAAGCAGAACTGCTCAAACTGATCAAAAGACATGTGTTGCCTGGCACCACCATCATGACCGACGAGTGGAAAGCTTATAGCAGTGTTCCTCAACTTGGGTTTTAGCACCTCACTGTCAATCATTCCCTGTACTTCATGGATCCCGCAACGAGGGCAAACACGCAGACCATCGGGTCCACATGGAGGTCACTAAAGCGCCACCATGCTCACTCGGGAGGAACTCGACACAGTGGATACGGGCTGCATCTCTGTGAGTTTATGTGGCGAAGAGAGATGGCTACTAGAGGCATGAATTTATTCCTGGGGTTCCTGGAGACAGCTGCAGCTGTGTACCCCCCGGGACCCACAGCAGTTCGACAGCTGCCAGCACCACAAGGTAGTGGTGCATTTCGGAGAAATGTGGCACGGCAGAAGCAAAGACTGCCTGGTATACCTTGGAACCTGCCCGTCCTGCCACAGCTGCAAGTCCCGACTGCTCAGCCAACCCAACAACAGCCACAAGCCCCAACAGCACAACCCACCCTACCACAGACGCAAGCCCCAACGGCCCAACCCATCGTGCCACAGCTGCAAGTCCCTCCAACGGCACAACCCATCCTGCCACAGCCACAGACCTCAACGGTGCAACAAACCCTGCCACAGTCGCAAGCCCCAATGGCACAAACCACCCTGCCACAGTCGCAAGCCCCAATGGCACAAACCACTCTGCCACAGTCGCAAGCCCCAACGGCACAACCTACCCTGCCACAGCCGCAAGCCCCAGCAGCCCAGACTACTTTAGCACAGCCAGCTGTGGGGCTGCAAGGCACTGCCATGCACCAATCACCCAAACTGCTGCTAATTCCAGAACCATCCACCGTGGTTGCAGCACAGCCTGGTGCAGCCCAGGCACCTGTGCTTCAGCAGGCAAACGCTGCGTACCAACTGGCACACGTGCCTTCAACATCTGCTGCATCATTTGCTGGCTCAACCCTGCTCAGGTACCAATGACCAACCATACCGTGGGAGCATGGAGCCTTCCTGGGCCCACTGTCAGCCAGATGCTTTACCCGATGCAAGGGATTGGAATGCCTGTGATCATTCCTGCCCACCAAGCTGTCACCCTCAACACTGCATTGTGGGCCATGGCACCACAGATGTCTGTGGCATCTGCACCAACAGCTCCTGCGATGGCCCAAGTCATGCCACAACAGCCAGCTGGATTGCAATATCCGCTGGTAACAGTCATGTCCTGGACCTTCTTGTAATGCTAGAGTCCCACTAGATCAACAAGCAGAAACAGCTGGCACCGACAAGCCTCAAGCATGTGCGGCAGGCATGCGAAGGTACTTTTTGCAAACTTGTAGTCTTACGATGCCTGTAAAGTAAGCATATTTGATTGCAAGCCTGCAAAAGTTACCTTTGCATGCTTGCTACCGTGCTTGCAGCTTGTTGGTGTCAGTTGTTTCTGTTTGTCACTATAGTGGAACTCGGCCATAACTGATTCGTCACAACCTAAATGTTGTGGGAAGTGCCCTCATAGGAAGGCGCCAATGGACTGGACAGCATACACCTTAGAAAGCCAGAGATGCATCAACGTTACGCCGCCTCTCCGAAGCCTTGAGGCTGCACAAAATTGTGAGGCTGTAAAGTACCATCTCCAGCAGTTGTCAGAGGGTACCGGACATTTCATCGAATGCTGTTTTATCGAATAAGTGGACATTTCATCGAACGCCGTTTCATCAAATTTCTCTTTACTGAATTTGGGAGTAATACAATGCTTTTTACACAATTTACTATCGCTTTTGAAATAGTATGACACCGCTCTAAATTCACCAGAAATAGAATTACTACCCGGTCAATAGAAGGTAGCTATCATATCAAAACTTGAGTGGATACGAGAATTATTCTTTTCTGGCGAGGTAGGCAGCTGTTTTCAGCCACACACTTTTTCCCACTTCATCCCTTTATTTATCGACACGTGAAAGGCACTTTCTTAAGAGGGAAACAGCTAATCGCCGCAGCGCCTTTTTTATTTGATATTTGTTGATTTACCTGTGTTTTCATTTTACCCTAGGAGAATAGGGTAAAATGAAATATATGAACCTGCCGAATATCCAGCAGGTTCATGGTTCTGTCGGTTACAATAAATTCAGAAAGGGGAGACACATCTTATTTTTTTCCCGTATCATGGGACACGCAGACAGATTATTGCTTCAAGAACGGTTTCGTCTTGAAGCAGAATAGGCCTCTTCAAGGACAAAGATATATACGCCCTTGATACGCTTTGATCAGACATGTGTTCCTCACTGCACCTGAGGATCACAGCTTTAAAAAGTGTCATGGATGAAGAAAGAATAAACAATTAAAACAGGGACAACACAACTACATCTTTCAACTAGCAACAGACGAGTAAATTTTCAAAAGCGAGCAGCCGACTATACCCAGTAGGAGTAGGGGAGAGAAGGGGAGAGAAGGAAAGATAAAACACGCGAAGTGCAAGTCAGGGTGGTAGGGTTATCTCGGATTTTAAAAATTCAACCTCAGTTTTCGTCAGCAGGAGGGAAGGGTTTGACACGTTTTTTGCTGTGGTCATGGCGAATGATTCTATGATTTCCCTGCCGAATCTGCTGTCATGCCCCCCAAGGATTTTTGTGCCATCAAAGAGGGGGTGACAACGCAAACACGAACGGGCATGTATGACTATGGGATGATAGGAATCTGGAGAGGCCTTGGAAACTTCGTTGTGATGTTCGCGGAGTCTGTGATTGGTGCATCTGCCGGTCTGTCCTATGTATTGATGGCCACAGCTCAAGGGGATGGAGTAAACTTTCTTCTCTTAGCATGGAATGAATTTCTTTTCGTGCTTGACAGTGCATCCAATCGGAATCCGGTTGTTGTTTACCCGTTGACAGAGTTGTTTAAGACGCATGCGGCACGAGAAGACAACATTCGTGTCAAACTTTGAGGCAATGGATTTTATCCGGATTCCGATTGGATGCCCTGTCAAGCACGAAAAGAAATTCATTCCATGCAAAGAAAAGAAAGTTTACTCCATCCCCTTGAGCTGTGGCCATCAATACATAGGACAGACTGGCAGATGCACCAATCACAGACTCCGCGAACATCACAACGAAGTTTCCAAGGCCTCTCCAGATTCCTATCATCCCATAGTCATACATGCCCGTTCGTGTTTGCGTTGTCACCCCCTCTTTGATGGCACAAAAATCCTTGGGGGGCATGACAGCAGATTCGGCAGGGAAATCATAGAATCATTCGCCATGACCACAGCAAAAAACAATGTGTCAAACCCTTCCCTCCTGCTGACGAAAACTGAGGTTGAATTTTTAAAATCCGAGATAAACCTACCACCCTGACTTGCACTTCGCGTGTTTTATCTTTCCTTCTCTCCCCTACTCCTACTGGGTATAGTCGGCTGCTCGCTGTTGAAAATTTACTCGTCTGTTGCTAGTTGAAAGATGTAGTTGTGTTGTCCCTGTTTTAATCGTTTATTCTTTCTTCATCCATGACTTCAACCAACACGCTCTTCTACTAAGCGTAAAAAGTGTCGTCAGCGTTCCCCTTTCTTATTGGCCAAATTAACAGAGGTCATCATTTACTAAGAAAAATAGGTGACAAAAAAAGTTTCTTCCTTTTATATATGTATAAGTTTATAAATTATAATAAATATTAAAACACTGCTATCCTCCCGGCGCTAAAAAGAAAAATATTTCCTAAATGTAGAATTCCTACTGCTCAAGTAGCGGCGTTCGATGAAATGGCGTTCTATGAAACGGTGTTCAATAAAACTGCGTTCGATGAAACGGCTTTCATGAAATATCCGGGCCCAGTCGTCAGATGAACATAATGCAGTGCATCACGGAGGAAATGCTGCAGGTCACAACATGACGTGTCAGGAGGTCCCTGTAGTAGTTACAGGGCATCGCTGCGGAGCAAGGAGGCAATGGGCTGGACAGCATACGCCTTAGAAAGCCAGAGACGCATCCACGTTCCGCCACCTCTCCTAGGCTTTCAGAGACTGCACAGAATTGTGATGCCGTAAAGTTACATCTCCAGCAGTTGTCAGATGTACATCATGCAGTGCATCACGGAAAAAATGCCGCAGGTCTCAGCATGGTGTGTCAGAAGGTCCCTGTAGTCCACACAGGGCCTTGCTGCGGAGCAAGGAGGCAATGGGCTGGACAGCATACGCCTTAGAAAGCCAGAGATGCATCCACGTCCCGCCACCTCTCCTAGGCTTTCAGAGACTGCGCAGAATTGTGATGCCGTAAAGTTACATCTCCAGCAGCTGTCAGATGTACATCATGCAGTGCATCACGGAAAAAATGCCGCAGGTCTCAGCATGGTGTGTCAGAAGGTCCCTGTAGTCCACACAGGTCCTTGCTGCAGAGCAAAGAGGCAATGGACTGGACAGCATACGCCTTTAGAAAGCCAGAGATGCATCCACGTCCCGCCACCTCTCCCAGGCTTTCGAGACTACACAGATGTTGATTACGGGCTTTATGGCGCAAGAGACTACACAGAGTTGTGATGCTGTAGAGCATTATCTGCAGCAGCTGTCAGAAACAACCACTGATTGTTCAGACAGCGTATCATGTAGGAAATGCCATTGCTGCACTTCCTTGACGGTGTTTTGCTTGTACAGGACCTACTGATGATACAAGTTTTTACTTTCAAGTTTTTCCCAAGCTGTTCCCTCAGGTTGTTGCAGATTCGAGTGACATACCCAGCAGATGCATCACACCTTTCTGAGGTACGTTACAAATCACAAACCAGACTGGCTTTGCCAGATCACCCACATTTTTTTCTCGGCAGACCCTGACTGCTAGAGAGCGCGTATGCTGTCCAGCATACGCGCTCTCTAGCAGTCAGGGTGGCGGATAGGGATGCTTTATCACACAGATACCTTCTCCTCTGCAATTCAGAAAACCACTTGGAATAGAAAAATATTGTCATTGATAATGCTTGCATAGTTAACTTCCATGTGACTCACAGAGGGGCAGTCAAAGACCTGTGTGATAAAAGTGGTGCTTGCACCCACGGACCAACAGGAATTCAGATTTTAACACCATCTGGTGCCCTATGGATCAACCACTGAATGAAATCGGCACAGACTTTTACACAAGTGAATAAAATTTCCAACTTTTATACTAAACAAGTGTTGCTGCAATGCCCTTGTTCAAATATGTTGCCAATGTTTAATGGTTGATAGAGAAGTCACACAAGCTCACGCCTAAACGGGATTTCCTTCACACCATTTGATGATAGAACGTATCACTCGCCCTGTAATAAACCCTTTTTAAAAGTGAGCATATCCGCTCTATCCAGAGCCAAACCCGATGGTCTAATGGCAGCATTACACCGCTTTTCCATACCCCGAAAACAAGCCTGCGTCTTCAAAAGCACGGAGCTGAACACATAATTTTTTCTATCATTGGTCCCTCACCTCTGATTTTTTAACTCAACAGTGCATGTCTTAGGTCATCTTTATCTATCGCTGCCATTACAGCAAAAACATAGCCTCAGAGATTCTTGCCACGCAAATTTCTCCTCTGGACTTCTAAATGCACGGCTGCCCAGCAGGAGCATATGTCTCTGCAGAGCTCTGCAATTTGTTCATTTCACAAGGCCAGCACCAGCACCTTAAAGTTAGATGTGTGCAGAAAACATAAAACCTGCATCTTCATTGTTTTGCAAGAAACACTGAGAAAGGTGGGGCGTGTGAGCATGCTGAGACACGGTTCAAGTGCCACTAGGCTCATGCACTGGCATTGCTTGTACTTCGTTCCACACACTCAACTAAGATAGTTCCTCTATCAATCAGCGTTTATTTCGGCTTAAAACACAAAGGGTGGCGAGAAAAAAGCGTTGTCGTCCACTGCTTGACGGGCCTCGCCACCATATATGTTACTTGTGTTACATGAGGCGAAAGTACAAAAAAATTATAAAATTATAAAAAAGCATTCCGGAAAACAGAGGCATAGAGGCAT